ATCCTTGCTGTAGGTAAACCTGCTTCGGCAGGGGGGGTTGGACGAGGGGATCTCCAGAGGTCCTTTCCAAACCCTACTATTCTGTGGGGATTTTTTTGTTGTTTTTGTTTAGTTTTGTTTCCGGATTTCCTGCTTCTTTTTTGTTGTACTTTAAAAGAACCCAAACAACAATCAACCAAACCAGCCCCTACCACCACTCTCCTCACATCCCCACCCCCAACCCAACCACAAACTACCAGCTCTTTAGAATTAGGTTAGAAATAAAATCTGACAAATATTCAGGCATGTGATAGTGTTTTAATGGCAATAAAGATTTCTTTAAATTAGAAATTCTGGTTCTTAGTAACTGCAGAAATGCTTTTTGCGTGCATAAAATAAGAACATTTTTCTTTAAAGTTGTCCTTGTCAATATGCAAATAATTTGTATGTGACTGTAAAACTTGGGGATGGGTTGGGAAAGGCAGCTTGATTCTCTTCATAATGTGTAGCACATTGAAAGTGCTTTTTGGTAGGTGGTGTGGCTTTATACCAGAATTGACAAGTTTGCTAACAAGCATTGAGCATGTTCAGTGTGTTTTAGCTTTGTTTTTCTAAGGCCTGTTACTATAGACCTGTATTTATGGTACAGTCTACGTTGATTTCCTTAGTTTGTACAATATTTGTCCATTTTAACACGGATTTACTTCACCTAGACATAAATGAACAATAATGAACAGTGTCAGATAGCCAGCTATTAGATTTGAGAATTTATTTGATGAAGTAAAATGTCTTATGTTCCTTGATTGTCCTAGAGGTGTTGATTTTAATTCCAAAACTGTTTACTCATTTTGTTCTGTCCACACAATACAGAGCTGTGATTCTAGTTCATGAGTAGGTAGAATTTAAGTTTTGATTTTTGTAGTACTGTACTAAGTGCAATGGCTGATTTATGGGTTTCATTGATTTGAGATTTGATGTAACGCATGAAATTTTTTAAAAAGTTTGAGGTTGACAGTAGTGCTTTATCAAGATGTGCCTCAGCTCATGTGAAATAGAAGATGTTGAATGTAAGCATTGGGGCAGTTGTCATGTAATGCAGCTACTATGGAAAAAAAAAACAAACCTGTTTAGTGCAGGAAAAGATAATGAAGTGTTGGTATCAGAGTTCTCATTATGTCCATTTAGACCTTTCCTGTGCTGCTATTCAAAATAGAGGGAAAGATCTTTACCTGTGGAGAATGTCCTGTTTCCAAACTTAAATTGATGAGAAATACCTAGTGTTTTTAGTAAGTTACCCTGCTGCACACGCTGTAGATACTGGAACAAAATGAAGACCTAAAACCATTCCTGTAATACTAGGATTTATATAAACATTTCATCCATGTAAGTGAGGGGTTGTCTGCTTTGTATTCCATAATCTGGTGAGCATTATTTAGAAGTTGTGGAAAAGAACTGATCTGTTGTGATGAGGTTTGGGTGGTTTCTTAGTATATAGCATTCAAAAACTAGGGACGTGGAGCAGGTCAGATACGTGTAAGGACTGTGGTTTGAAGGGGGTTAAAGAGAGAGGATCTGAGGGAAGGTGTGGGGAAAATGGATTTATGTAGGTCAGGAAGCACAGAGCTGAGTGGGAGGGGAAAAAGTTTACCTTATTGAACCAATCGTATGATTAGTATGATATTAATGTACTCAGCTTGTTTGGAGACTTTTCTTTGGCTCTTTGTTCTTAGAAAACTGTTGATTGGAGTTAAGCTGGTAAAATAAGGAACATCAAGTGATCCTCAGCTTGGGAAAGTTGGAAGCTTCTGCTGCCTAAAATAGCTCTCCATGTTAACAGCTCCCTGTGAACATTACTTGTACTTCACACGGTATGCTTAAGCTGTCTTGAGGAATCGATAATGCTGTCTTTCTGCTCAGAATTGGAGGTACTTCTAAAATTGCTTCTTCTGTAGTCCAAAATTGCTGCTTCTGTAGTCCATCCGTCTGTCCCATATTCAGATATCTTTGGAAAAGCTGATGAATGTTGCTTCAGTGTGTTCTTACAGATAACTACAAAAATGGTTCTGTAATGCAGCGAGACAACTTTTTTCCTTCTGTTTCTTACTCTACACTCAAATAGCATATAAAACCAAAGGCAATAAAGTATGTACCTGAGGTAGACATTTTATAAGTTCACGGATTTTTATAGGAGTTAAATAGAAATAAATGAACGTGTAATCATGGGTGCAGCAGTGTTTTCCAAGTTTCCGCTTTTCCCAGAACTGAGTTGTGCAAATATAACAAATCAGAAATAGAGGGGAGGAGTAGCACATGCTGGTACCGTAATTTAAACACGTAGTCAGTGAAACATTACTGTGCAGTGTTTTTACATCTGTATTATCTTTACCTGCTTTCATTGCTTTGCAAAATTGACCAGCAGAAAAGTGAAAGAAATGTTCTCCAGTATGAAGGTTTATGTATAGTCCAGTATATATGGGGCAGTCTTTACTATGTTGTGCCCCGTTTTATAAATAAATAGGCTGAAAAGGAAATAAAGAAGACTGCTGCTTATGGCATGTTTCTCAGTGGAGCTGAATATTGGAAAACAAATACAACCAAAGATCCAGTGTGCCTTAATAGTACCTGTATTAAATGAGCTGTATCGTGAAAGCTAACTTGGCAGTGACACTGTTTTAATTAACACTGTAGTAACAGGGGAGTTCCTGCACACGAGGGAAGACTGGCAGTAGTTGTCACATGCAGACAAAGTAGAGCTTTGTTTACTATTACATGTTTGTACAAATAACATTTCTGCCTATTTTGTCACCCTGCTATAGTGTGTCTGTAACTCTTTGACCTGGAGTTGTTTGTGTGCATGTTTAGAGAGGGTAAAATATCCATATCGTAAAACAAAACTTTTATATGAGCCACTTCACATTGTCTTCTACCTTATGATAGAAAGTCCTTTTAATGCTTAGAATGTGATAAATAATTCTGCATAAATGGTTATCTTGGTGACTACTGCTCCATTTAACAATCTTCTGAATTCATATTTGTTCATTCTCACTTATTTGAAATGATGCGGTAGTTATAAAATTTAGTATTCTGGGGGGAAATACCAACTTCTTGAACATCAAAGAACATGTTAAAAACATTTACCAATTCAGTGGAGCCCCATTTTTATTAATTGGAGTCAAGGGCTATGTTAGTATGTTTCTAGGCATAGCAATTAGTTGCTTAGGGCAGGGAGAAAATAATACTCTGTTTTGTTTGTCCAGTTTGACCTATGACGAGGTCTTAATTTATGAGCAGAGCTCTTGGATGTTGTGGTCATGCAAATACATAAATAAAGTTTGGGATTCATTTCTTCTAATGTCAGTGTATTTGACCTAGTTAACTTAGGTTCCCTTCTTGAAGGAGAATATAGGCCTGATTCACCTTCAATATGTTCCTTAAATTAATCAAATGAATTGCATCCCAGCAGTGCTTATTTAGGTTCCTTTCTCGTGTTGGTGGAGATATCAGTGTCCACAAAGATGCTAGTGTTGAGGTGACCAAATCTGAATTATTTATCTCTTAAGAATGTCTCAAATAATACAGTACCAACTCCTAAACTTGAATATACTTTAAAATCAGAGAAACCTTTGAATTAAGAACAGTTGCTGCACAATTATTATTTAATCCCAACAAAAAGATGGAAATTTACAGCCTGTTTGATAGTTCAGCACAAATATACATTGATCCACCTAGATATATGAAAGATGCAAGGCAAGACATAGATACAAAGCAGAGGTATGAGCTGAAGTGCCTAGTTTTGAACTGAGATCACCAGTAGAATTATATTGTTGCTTTAAATATTGTGGTTTTGCTGAACTAAGTGAAGATGGGCATTCTCTGTAATCCAGGAAAAGGTAGCTGTAAGGATTATTAACGTAAGGAAAGAATGGTACCAAGTTAATGAAGTGTTGGATTCTGATTGATAACAGTACTATTTGAAGATGAGTTTTAATTGATACCAGCTCTAAATGAATCAGTAACAACTTTGTTGTCAAAGCTTGGTGTTTTAGTTTTATTTTTGGTGTGTTAGTTTTATTTTTGTCCACATGTACTTCTGGGAGCAATACTGCTTAATGGCATCAAGATAATGTTGATGCTTTTTATGAATAGGCTGCATTTGTTATTCATTAGCAAACCATGTTAATCACATATTTGGAAGGTGAAGTAATCATTCATTACACTTTTGTATTTTCATTGAATTGAATACTTCTGTGAATGACAGTGCTGAATGTACTCTCCAGTTTTTTCAAAACAGATAAATCTAAGCTCCCAAAGTTTTGTAATGATGTTCTGCAGAGCGCTGGTTGAGTTACTGGCAGTCCAACTGTCCTCAGCTTTTCCCATGAAGATGAAAGGCAGCTGCACATCATTTTCATATTACTGCTCTAGCGTGACTGGTTACTTAAATTACTATGGAGAGACTGTTCAGTTGTCAGTGGTGAGGGGAGTAGACCATCAAATAATCGGAGGATGTAGTCTGTGCACAGAAAGTTTGGGAGCACTGGTGATTACTCGCTACCCAGTTCATTACAGCTCCCCAGGCACTGGGTATGAACTCATCATGCCAAGTTACTGGACAGTGCTTGAGATTCCAGACATAACTGGCTTGATGTGAAAGATTCTGAAGTCACATTTGAAAATGACAAGTAACTAATCAACGAGAAACCTAAAAGAATGCTTAGTTCAAGGGTATGACATCTAGTTATGGAACAAAAGTTTAGGTGATGATATTCATGTTGAGCCTTGTCTCACCATTGCTGTAGCTCTGATCACTACAGCTGTTGGTTAGGAAAGAGCTGGTGGCCAGAGTAAGGATTTGAAGATCTAACATACTGTGATGCTTGGAAAGAATCCAAACAGTTCTTGCTTGGTTCTGAATGTGGTTGTTGTTGGCAGGCTTAAGCTTTTGTTGTTAAACTTTCTGTGCTAGTAGGTCATTGCTGTGAATGCATGACTGTCCTAACTCCCACTTTCTTTTGTCTTAGTCACATTGATCAAACAACAACATGGCAAGATCCTAGGAAGGCCATGCTTTCCCAGATGAATGTTACAGCTCCCACCAGTCCTTCTGTGCAGCAGAACATCATGAACTCGGCATCAGGTAAGCAAAATTCATATTTGTGAAAAATGCCATACAAATGAAGATACCACCGGCGATTTCAATTGAGGGGGAGGAGTCTAAATCTCAGAAATGTCCTTCTAGTTACCCTGGTTTTAAACTTTGAGTTTGTTGATGCCTGATACATCACACAAGAGGCTGATCCTTGAGGTAAGAGTATTTGTATATTTATGATGTCAACAGAAAGTATCCTGTAGTTCTTTGGTTTGTGTTTTCATTTTTTCAAATGGATGATGCAGACATTTAAAGCAACAGAATTTTTGTCTAATTTCTTCTGACTGACAATGCCGTTAAATGGTTGAAGACCAGAATTTCTGTTAAATTATTGTCAATTTACGTTAAAGCTATTGGGCTTCTGCGGTGTTCTTCTACCTCTGCTTGCTCACTTACTCGACTTGGTGTGCTCCCATTCATTTGCATTTTCTACATTTGTTATGAATATCTCATTTTTTTCTGACTTCCCTAAATGAATAAAGCAAACACCTGGAAAATCTTGTTTGGAAGCAGAGATGTTTTGGTTTTCTTCTTATTTTCCTATTGTTTCCAAATTCCTATATTGTGATGATTAATTCCTCTAGCTGAGGAAGACTTGATACCTTTTCCTGCAACATAGAATTGTTTTTCAACTAGTCTGTGGAGGTCATCACTAGTCAGCAGTAAAGTGTGCTTGTTCTTGCTCTAGTTATGTTTTCAGAGCTCTCTTGTCCTCATGGTGCAGAGAGCGACCAGATAAATTTGGGACCATGCTAGTTTGACTGCTGCGCTCTTCCCTACGTTTGTCACCTTCTGTCTGTTGCTGAGGTTCATGTTTTATTTATTTTCTCCCAGTCTGATTGTATTTTGTGTATGTCTGCTGTTCCTGTATTTCACAAGGGTTATTCTCTGGTGCTGCTTTTTGTTGTCCGTTTAGACAGCTTTGCTTCCTGCTGCAATTCATACGCTGCAAACAATACGCAAAGATCAACAGGCGTGACCGAACTGTGCTGGTCGTGGCTGAGTACTAAGAGGGAGAGCTCATCAAACTTTTTGGCTGGCTAAGCCAGGAGGCTGGATTATCCTGAAACCAATTAGAGTTCTGTTCAAGTTCAGGAAGTCATGATTCAGAGCAATTAAGGTCTCAGACTGTGATGTGAAAATATAATATCTGAGATAATTTTTTCTGTAAATATGTGCCAGCAAACCTGCAGCAATAGAGATGACATGTTTTTGCAGGGACACTTGTGAAGAACAGGGAATAGGATAAAGGAAACAATTGCCTTGGTCTGTCTTGCCTTTTGGCTTATCTTGTTTGTGCCAAAACTAGATACTTGCTGTTTGAATATTGACATAAAATCTGTGTTTTAAGATAACTCCTCCAACACTCTGTTATACCAAGAATTAACAGGAAAAAATATTGATAGTGAAGTAGGATTCATTTTATGTTCTTAGAAAGAAATGAAGGGTCCTTAGCAAAAAAATAAATGGCTTAACTGTAGTGGGTAAAAATCTAAAAGACAATCTACCAATCAGTACATGAGGATTATTTTTACAAGAAAACCAAGAATTTACATGGAATTGATGTAAGTGTGAGAGCAAGTGATCCTATATAGATATTGTTGCTCATGCAATAAAGAAGAGTGGAGACATTTAAGTGGGTTGTCTTGTGACTTGAGAAAGCACTTATTTGAACACAAGTTCATTGAAAGTTTATTTATAACTTCACAGATGGTACTATATTGAATATAAATTCCCCCCTCCCTGCTCTGAACTTGATAAAGTATATGAAGAAATCAGAACTTCTGTGTACATTGAGTTATGTGTTTATGTGGCATCGCCTTTTTTAAGTTTACATCAGTTGAGATAGTATGATGGAACTGGCTCTCTGGATGCACGTGCTTACTTTTAACTTACTTGCATTTAAAAAAAAGTCTGTTTTTAATTAAATAATACTGAACCTGCATTTATTGGATATGATTCTGTTTCTGATGCTTGATTTGGCAAATCTTTACATACTAACTTTAAATTATAAATATATATTTGTTTTTGTTAAGGTCTCTTATATCTGATGCAGTTACTTTTTACTACTGAGTTCACGGTAACTTATGCTTCCTTGGTGGCCTCATTAAGAATGAGAGAAATGGAAAAATCAAGTAACTATGTACCACTTCAGCACAGTGGAACTTAAATTTGAGTGCTAACGTCATAAATATAACACTACTCAATGTTCTAATTTGGATATTCATCCTCAAGAACTGGGAAATAAAGTTGAGACCTTTAAGACACAAGTTTCCTGTTATGAAATATTGCTGGCGATGAAATGTGCCCTTGTGCTTTGAGAGCCTTTCATGAAAGATATTGGGAAAACCCAAGTGTAAGTATTGTGACAGCTGGACGTCAGTGACTTGCGAAAAAAACCGTCTGAAATGCCACAGGGGAGAATGTTTTCCTTTCTGTATTGTTCATCCTTGGATAGTGCTGAGTAATTGTAGCTCTTAATCAGAAGTTAGTGTCCAAGTTTTAGTATATTTAATTACAGACTGCCATAGGAGCCTGTGAGTAAAGTTGCTGCAGTAAAACCTAAGACAGGAGATTTTTAGGAGCTGTCTTGAAAACCATTAGAACATTTTGCTGTTTAGCCAGAATTGGAATTCTAGCCATTAGCCGGAATTAGGAACAGAAAAAGAAACTGAAGAGGGAGAGAGAGAAGAGAGAGAACTCAGAAAATCTCTTTCTGCATGTTGAAGATAAACCTGTTGTCTTTTCTGGATAAATAGGATAAGTGGTGCTCAGGCAAAATGGGAAGAAAGCAAAACTGGAAGGTGTGGTAAGAGTGAAGACAAGTCAAAAGAATGTTTAAATAAAACCAGGAAAGATGTAGCTTGGCATGAGGCTGAGATTTTTAGGTTGTTTTTCTTATGAAATCCCACCTCTTGGGGCAGCTAGGGTGGGATGAGAATCCAGGTATCCTGCTGCAAGTTATTCTTTCTTTAAGAAATCCAATAAGCATCTGAACCAGCTTCATCTGTTCCTGGCATGATTTTGTGAATGAACTATTTTGAGTGTTAGTGTACATCCCTTACAGGAAGGCATGTGAAAAGTGAGGATTTTTTCCTCGCCCACCTTGTTTTGATTCTTTGATATATTTTTTTTTTGTCTCAGTCTTGGTGAACTTAGCTTGCTACATGCAATCAACTAAAATGCTTTGGGCCATATGTGTGCAGAGAAACATAGTGCTCTATTAGATGGTGTTTGGTGGTTAATCTTCTGTGAAATAGGATTGCATCTTCACATCAAGAATGGAAAGAAAACAAGTCTGTTGCTTCTAAATATGTAACATGTATATAAAAATTAGTCTTGACTGTTTTGTGTGTGTGTTTCTAACCATTTTTCCCTAAAGGTATTACAGGAAAAACTATGTTTTTCTGTACTGATTTTATAAAAAAAGAAGAAAAAAAAAAAAGATAGCAATAAGAATACTTTGTTCTGAGGAGCCTGTCCTATACATTTTTTATTGAGATGAAGTTATAAATTTGAAAAGTAAACAATGCCTGTTTCTTGCACAATTACAGTTGATACAACAGAGATGGGATAATTGTATTTATAAACTTCCACTCTTCAGATACTTTTGCTTCCTGAATGCTGCATAACAGCGCTGCTTACTTCAGCCTCTTCTGCTTGCGCGTAGGCATTAGATACTGAGCTCTGGAGCAGATTTACTTGTCTTTGGCCTCTTTTGCCTTCCCTCTTCCCTTGCAGTTTTGAATTGGGCTCCCCGGTGAAAGTTTGTAGACCTGGTGTAATTCTGTTGCCCCCCTAGGGAAGGGCTGTAGTGCCACGTTAAAGGGTAGAAGGAAAATGGACACCTGAATTCCTAACTCCTGAGGGGTTTTTTTCCCCTTTGTGGGCAGGAGGGTAGGGAGGGATATGCCAATAACTAAAACAAGTTCTAGATCTTATGTTAGATTCTTGCTCACTTCAGTTGCAGATTCCTCTTCTATGTTATCAGTCATACTATAAATTCTGCTTTGTGTACAATTAATGCTGGGTATAATCTGTTGTGAAACCGGAGTTTTTAAGTATCTTCATGACAGTAGTGTTTGTTTCTTTCTTCATCTCCAAAAAATGCCCCTTTTTTAATGATGCCTTTTTGTAAGTTTTACTGATTCAACAGAATAAAGGTGGACTTCATGTAGATTTTGTAGACTTTGATATAATTCTAAAAAGTTTTGGAATCATAGTGACAGTGATTGAAAGGAAGATAAGTAAGGTCCTTGGAGATCAGTGTTTGTATTAGGTGATTCCTGCTGTTGAACATTGGTGTTCCAGTTTCTAGGTTCTCCATGCATATTCTTATAATATACAGATGGCCTCTAATATTCATTAACCTTGTGATAATATATGGTTTTATTTGCATTTATTTTACAATTAAATATCAGAAACTGTAGGAACTTGCAAGATTTACTCTGTTTCCCAGCGTAGCTTGAATCTATACTACTTTTTTCTTTTGTTGCTCTCTGTTGCTTTCTGTCTGCCAGCAGTGAGCTCTGCTTTGTGAAAATGATATCTTGAGAAACTAGACACTTAAAAATTGAGACGTGCACCAGAGACATGCACACAGACTTTTAAAATTACTCGTATCTATGTGAAGTTATATAAATATTAGTACATTATATAAATATTTAGTACAGAGGTATGCCTTATCACTAGTACTGTAAGGATGGCTTACGCTCGGAAATTGGAATCTATTTTTTGGATAACCTTGTTTTTAAAAGTGCCACACTAAAAGTTGAGTTTCCTTGAAGGGTTGTGTCTCCCTGTACAAATAAATTCATAGAGTTGTAAGCTTATGGTTGTGGTTGTATTCAATTAACCCAGGAGACATCAAACAGAACTAGTAGGAGACCATGCCACGGAATTTGTTGGTGCTGAATGTTTACAAGGGTTCAAGGGAAGACTGGAAAAGCACTTGAAAAAGAGATCCTTTGGCACCTAGTAAGCAGACAGAATCTGGCTCAAGAAGTCACCTGATGTACTTGAAGCCCCAATGCTTTTTGGGTCTGTATGTGTATTGTATTCAGTGTTTTGTTTAAAAGCTTAGAAAGTGTGACAGTCACTAAATGGGCTGCTATCAGCAATGAAGTCTGTCTGTCACCCCAGGCTCAGTGCCTGGGCTAAATGGACTTCTGGTTAGACCCAGTGTGGCTGGTTTTGTATAACACGGGCTACAGTAACTACGGAAATTTTGGTGAGAATGTCTGAATAACAGCAATATAGAGTTTTTATAACTTAAGTCACTTAAAAACATAAGCTAATGCTGGGAATTCTGTTCCCATTGAGCCTTTTTGAGGGAGAAAAGGGACATGTAATTGCACAGGAATTTTCCTAGATGCGCTAAGTGAATGTGTCTGCTATTCTTCACCATAGTTTTCCATTTTCCCTCTGTTACTTGCCTCTAATACAGAGTTTGTCAGGCAGCCAGTTACAAAATCAGACTTGACAGTCTTCTGGTTTCACAACTGCTCACAAAACCAAATAGGAATTACAGAAAGCAGTACTAATCAATTTTTTGCACTACCATGTCAACATGTAGGCACGACAGTAGAAACACAAGAGCAGTTTACTGGCCAAGAAAGAAAGCAACACCATGATTAATGCCAAAAGTTTCTAGAGAGAAAAGTTCTGTTTCTACAGCCGTTGATGGCACTTAGCAAGGAAGACTTGCTATTATGAGCAAGGTGAGCAGACAGACCTTTCCTGTCCTGTCCACAGCTGTGTATTTTATTTAGAAAGACAACCTTGCCCAGGTTTGTCTCTAGTAAGCTAGTTCTCATCAGATCACTGGCTCTAATAAGCAGTATTCTTCCACCAGGTAGGTGGACTGATCGGCTCCTGGCATCCTGCTTCAAAGGCATTTTGTTCTTATTTCCTACAAAGAAACATGTTGGACCAGTATACACTTCACTCAGCGTTCAGCAGGACTGACACCCCAAGGCTAGTTTTGTTTTTCCTAGAGCCAGATGGCTTTTTTTGGCTTTGCAGTTCAAAAGAGAATTTCTTGCTGAGTTTCATCTCCAAGGGATGTGTGGCTTAGAAGGGCTCTAAGGAGAATGGTAACGAGAAGGTCTGCCCGCATGGCGTGGGTGTTGGCTTAGCAGTCAAGGAACATTTTTGGTTTTTTGGCTTCTCTGCTTGGATGATGTGGGGCACGTCACTGTGCTTCTGTGCCCCAGTTTTATAAAACAGCATCTCACTGATTAGCTGGCTGGCCTTTGGGTACGGTAACCAAGTACAGGGTTCTTTGCACTTGAGCTTTCAATTCTGCGTTGGAAGACCTGTTACACTGTGGGTATGTCAGGATGTAGGAATGTTTTGCAGTGTTGTCACTCTTTTTTTGCCTGTTCTGTTCTCCATCCTCTGATAAAAGCTGAGGTACTCTTGTTACTTGGATGTGGCTTTCAAAGGTTGTGAGGATGAAGGGGGGAGGAAATGTCCAATGGTTAGATCACTGGTTTTCCTCACTTGAAAACCTGTAGCTCTAATGGTGGAGTAGTGAGGTGGCTACAGAAAGGCAGAGTTTTCTCCAAACTCCAACCTCCAAACGAAGGAGTTTAAATTAGAAATGTAGTTTGCAGGGGATCTTCAGAACCAAATTCTTGTCTTGGTTATGCCTTGGGATGTTACTGGAATGCCATTGAATGATTATTTTACTCTTTTTGACATTTCTCCAAGAACATGTTTAGAGATTAAGCAGATAAATCTATCCTTCTTTCTCCACCCACCCCCCCCCCC